TCCGTGATAGAGGGGAACGACTTCCGAGGTTCTTCGGATAGCTGGAAGCATGGATACTGTGCGGAAGGGTATAACTCGGGCCAGTGGCAGGGTGTAGGGAGGGTGGCTGAGTTGGTTGGCTGGCTGGCTGGCTGGCTGCTGCTGAGAAACATGAAATATTGGGGCAACGGATCGCGCGGGAAACATTAATCTTGCACCCCATCTAAGCTCTTTCTCTCCCTCGCAGAAGAGGCAGCACACCCGAATAGCGTATATACCGACGCAAGAGGCGCGCGCGCTCGCTTTGGGCGTCGAATCCGTCCCGATGGTGCATGGCGTAAAGACAAAACACGCGGGCGAGGGTAATCCATTAGAGAAGAAGCCGAGAAGGGGCGGGGGAAGGGAAGAGTAACTCTCCCGCGGCGCCGGCTTCGAGGAGCGCATTTCCATCGGCCCCGTCTCTTCAGCTCCGTCTTGATCCCCGTGTTCTCCGGGCAAACCCAGCGTCGCTGGTCGACCAGCCTCGCCTGCTTGGGCCGTCTCATTATTCTCTCCCAATATCTCTTCTTACGCGTGTGCTCCTTAAAAGGGTTGCAGCGGCTAGAAGATAGCTGCCTCTCCATGCAGACTTCTTCGTTTTCCTTTTCCCATCTTGCTCTCCATCGTCTTACTCACCCCTTCAGGGATCAAGGCACTCCCAAACTTCCTTGTTGACCCTTGTCGTGCCATCGACGAAAAGATAAAGATGGGGACGGAAAAGAGGTCGCTGCTCGGGCCGTATGCGTAAACGTTCGGATGGTAAGGAGCTCGCGGCTGTGGCTCGGAAAGCCATTAAGGTGCCAGAGCAGACGACGCGTAAATTATTTGTTCGCGCAGAAAACGGGCTCGAGTCCGAGCGCTGTAAAGGCGCGTCCGTGTTCGGTGGAGTCGTCGCACTTGCAGCGCATGGGCCGTTATTTCTCGTGTTCATTTTCATATCTCGCGAAGCGCGCCTTTCTGTGCTTTTGCTCTGGGCTGTTGCCCTGTACGTCGTTGTCCCCACCGAGGGGGCTCGTTGCTTGCCCAATTAGACGACGCAATATGCGTTAATAACAGGGGGTAATTCGACCAGCAAATAAAAACACGCGAGAAATTTTGGTTCCTGCAGGATGTGCTTTGTAAAACATAATACAAGATTAAAACGAGATTTTAGAGAAAAAAAAAAGTAACAGTTTCACCAAAAGGGCAAAGCAATGAATGCGATAGCAACGCACTCGAATGCTTTACGAAGCAAGGCTACCATTTTTAGGAGCAATAATATTTGTAGTAAACATGCGCTTTCTAAGTGACCAAGTTTTCTGCGGCGCGGTCACAGTAGATGAACACAACAGGGCTTGTCCATAGTGACGGCGTTGGTGAGACGCGCCCCCCGTGGGCAGCGCATGCTGGTAGCTATACGTAGTTTGTCGCCACTGATGGCAGTTTGTTGTAGTAGAGCGCATCTGTATGTGGATGGTGGCTCAAGGTACACTTTGGCACAGTTTTTTGTGTGAAGAGCGCAGCCCGTAGAAGTTCCCGCCTGCTGTAGGAGCAAGAGCCACGTGCTGATTGTTTTATAAGCACCCCCCCCCCTCCCTTTTGTTCACCCATGAGATAAGTGCGTGCGCGGTCGACCCCTGCCCAAAAATAATAAAGGCGATGTTCGCTCCGCAAAAAGAGTAGGCTAGCACATCCTTCCGCGTATATATATATATATATATATATATATATATATATATATATATATATATATATATATATATATATATATATATATATATATATATATATATATATATATATTATAATGAGCGAGACAGACACAGCACTCGTTTGTCGGGCAAGCTGTCGTATTCTGCCTCTTCTTCCTCGCTGTCCAGCCCATGGCCCACAGCTGCCGTGCCACTCTTCGTTACATTCGGCCACACTGCGGACCTGACAAAGAAAAAAAAAGAAATTACAGTTCATTGTACCTGCAGTGGTCCGACTGCTTTTTTCAAGCGCGACACATGCACGGCAAAGTTGTTTCTTTTGCGTTTATCGAGAGTGAAGTTCGCATCTGAGGTGTTCACACGCCAGGTATTTTCTTTTACACGCTGAGTAATTACGAATGGCCCGTCGAACTTAGGAAGTAGCTTCTTGCCGGGCCCGCTGGTGCCCCTTTGCACTCAGACCTCGTCACCGATGTTGTAAGCAGGAGCGGGCCTACGGCGTCTGTCATAGGGGCGCTTTTGATTTTCTTGTGCGTGGGTGGCTTTTTTGATCGCCTTAGTTCGGATCTTCTGACAGGCCGCTTTGCGATCGTTGGCACGTCGAACTATAATGGGAGCATCCAGACTGAGGACTGCTTTTAGCTGTGGTAGTTTTCCATAAACAATTTCGTAAGGTGTTTCCCCGGTAGACGTCTGCAGTGCTGTGTTAATTGCAATAGCGGTTGACGCAAAGTGGACGTCCCAGTCGGCCTCTCCTCTTTTCCCTGCCTTCGTATATGGAGCGAGTCGTGCCTGGATGCTCTGGTTAGTCCTCTCAGTAAGGCCGTTTGCTTGAGGATGAAACGCGAGTGTGAAGTGGTGCTGCACGCCTGCCGTGCAAAGGTGCTTTTTCAGTTCCCCGCTACGAAATGTTATAGCCCGATCAGATAATAACTTTTTTGGTAAGCCATGTCTCCATTCAAATTGGTGCTTGGGGAAGTCGATTAGGTAAGTGAATGCAAGAGATGGCACGGCCTCCACTTCCACGTATTTTGACAGGTAGTCACGCTGCACCAACACAGCTCCTAGGCCGACTTGGCTGGCATCAGTGTGCACTTCGGTGGACCAGTCCTCATTGAAGTGACTTAGTATGGGGCAACAAGTAAGCTTTTGTTTTGTAGCTCGAAAAGCATTTTCTTGTGAGATGCCCCATTCAAACCGCGTGTCCTTTTTAAGAAGACCGCTCAAGGAAGTGGGGATCGAAGCGAAGTGGGGAATAAACCTTCGCAAATACGAGGCCATACCCAGAAATGACTGAGCCTGCTTCAAGCAGGTTGGTGTGGGATACTGCGACACGGCAGCTATTCGCTCCGGAAGTGGCTGAATGCAAACAGGAGATATATTATGTCCCAGGTACGAAATGTTGGACACCCCAAATCGGCATTTCTTTTGGTTCAAACGAAACCCTGCTGCATAGAGTCTGTGTAGTACTTCGTCCAAATTGCGAAGGTGTTCATCCTCCGTCCTGCCAACGATCAGGATGTCGTCTAAGTACACCACGCAGGCTTGGTTTTTCAATGGTCTGAGCACCGAATTCATCGCACGCTGAAAAGTGCTAGGAGCCGTTCTTAGTTCAAATGGCATGCGGTTGAATTCATACAAACCGAAAGGTGTGCGAAAGGCCGTTTTACATCTGTCTTCCTCTGCGACGTTAATCTGCCAGTACCCTGCGCGTAAATCAAGTGGCGAAAAGAACTTGCAGTGACGTACTGTATTAACAGCATCATCAATGCGGGTAAAGGGTAGGAGTCAGGCATTGTACACTTATTGAGCTGCCTGTAGTCCACGCAGAAGCGTAGTGATTCGTTTTTCTTGCGAACAAGGATGACTGGCGCTGCCCAGGGACTCGATGACGGCCTAATAATGCCTGCGGCAAGCATTTCATCAACTTGTTCTGCGATCACTGCCCGTTCTCGTTCAGCGTATCGTCGCAGTGGTACGCATATTGGCGGATGATCTGCCGTTGGTATGCGATGGAGCAGCAAATTAGTGCCTGGCAGTTCTGCTGTATTGCTAGCGAATACTGGCTGATGGCGAGCCAATATAGAAGATAAGGTAGGCGGAGTGGACGGCTCACCTGTCAGTGGTGGCAGGGTTTTGGCGGTAGTCCCAGCTGTCGAAGACCGGAGTTCGACGTGGCCGCGATGTATGGTGAGCTCAATGTCATCAGATAGCAAGAAGTCAGCACCAAAGATCATGTCGGCAGGGAGGTCTTCAAAGACGGGAATGGCTGGAAGAACTTTAGTGCCCGATGCCGTCCGGACAGAAATGTCGAGCATTCCGACTGGCATAGCACTTCCTCCAAGTCCGCAGAGGGGAGGTTGCGTCCACGGTCGGATAGTGTCCGCAGCATGACGTCGGTGTAGCGCCGTTCGTTCTGCACCGGTATCCACAAGAGCAGATAGGTCACCTATTCCCTCAACATGAATGGACATCCGAGGAATTTGACAAGTTTGGTAGTGAATTCGCGTCTGGAGCGGTTGACTACACTCCTTGGCGTTGTGGCCAATGCGACCGCACTTCAAGCATCTGTGTCATGTGGAGGCCGGACGGACAGTCGAACGCACAGTCGTTAATGTGTCCAAGCTAAGCCGACGACAAGAGTTCTGCTGAAGTTCGGCTGCCTTTCGAGCGAAAACCTGGGGTGACGCTTCAGGTGACTGGCAAGATAAGATGACTGCATGGGTAGGGTCAGCCAAGCGATCAACGACATACTGGCGGGCAGCCGGAGAGATCCGTGTAATGCCACATTTGTCGAGAAGCCCGAGCTTATCGTAGACGTATTTACGGGCGTCTTCCGATGGAGCCTGCCGACGCAATCACATGCGCATGAAATGGTCGTCGTATGCGGATGAACGTGGTGGGAAGGCCGTGACGAAGGCTGTAGGCCAGTCACTCCAGGATTTGTACTTGCAGCCATTGTATTGATGCAACGCTTTGGCGCACTCGCGCAGTCGGGTTACAGCTAGCGATAGCGTCACGTCGTCAGTCCATGCATGTCGATAGGCCAACGAATGGATTTCATCCAGCCGGACGGTTGGGTCTTCATCAACGCCAGTAAAGTCGGGAATTTCAGCCATGGACGGAGGAGGCAACATGGTGCGTGCACAGGCTGTTGAGAAGGTGACGGTGGCGTCTGCAAGACGCTGGCTTGAAGTAGCGATGACCTGCAGAACCATGTAGAGTTCGCTGGCGTCTACAGGCGAGGAATTACGCCTGTCTTCTGGTGACGAAACTTACGTTGCTCCAGGGATGGTACCTGAGGCGAAGTCCAAGGGAGCATGTACGGCGTCCCTGGACAAGGAGGTGGTTTGCGAAGCCAAGTCAGAGGAGTCACCTTGTGGTTTGGCAAGGACGCCTGCAGGCAGCGCGCTGGCTTCGGTGCCCGCGGTAGCCAGGTCGGATGCCATCGCCACGGTAGCAGGAGGTCTGGGCCGCTGGAGAGTGGGTCCGCTCCATAGGACGGTTTCTTCACGCAGGTCGTTACGCACAGGTTCGTTGAACGACTGCGCCATTATAATGAATGAGACAAACACAACACCCGTTCGTCGGGCAAGCTGTTCTATTCTGCCTCTTGTTCCTCGCTGTCCAGCCCATGGCCCACAGCTGCCGCGCCGCTTTTCGTTACAATATCTAATATATATATATATATATATATATATATCTAATATATATATATATATATATATATATATATATATATATATATATATATATATAATATATATATATATATATATATATATTATTTATTCACAATACTGCCAGTCTTCAAAGAGACCATAGCAGGTGGGCACTACAGTATACAGTTACAAAGAGCACTTAACACTTTCAGAATCATAAATTGGTAAATAATGTGTAAAAATACAAATCAGCAACCTTGAAGCATACAATCAGCACTTATGCACACCATACACACCAAATACAAGTGAATGCTGGTTTGCATGTCACAGAAAAGCAGACATATCAAGGACGCTAAAAGACGTTATTTTCAATTCTTGATAAGAAATCGCACAATGACTGGGCATTAGTGGTGAAAGGGTTTAACAAATTCCATTCGTGGATGGCAACTGGAAAAAAAAGAGTATTTAAACGCATCATTGTTACATATATATTTTAATAGAGTATTTGTATGTTGGTGCCAGGTAGCTCGTGTTTGCGAATATTCAACGTAGTTTGAGACATCTATTTTGAAATAATGATTGATTGATTTGTGGGGTTTAACGTCCCAAAACCACCATATGATTATGAGAGACGCCGTAGTGGAGGGCTCCGGAAATTTTGACCACCTGGGGTTCTTTAATGTGCACCCAAATCTGAGTACACGGGCCTACAACATTTCCGCCTTCATCTGAAATGCAGCCGCCACAGCCGGGATTCGATCCCGCGACCTGCGGGTCAGCAGCCGAGTACCTTAGCCCCTAGACCACCGTGGCGGGGCTATTTTGAAATAAATATGTATAATTATGTATGATTATATATATATATATATATATATATATATATATATATATATATATATATATATATATATATATATATATATATATGCGAATGAAACGTGAAACGGCGGCGGTGACGACAAAAACCAGCCGAGACTGTCCATAGGGTTGCTATCGCAATAAGAAAATGTCTGGAAGTTTGTATCTAAGTCTCGCCACGGGCTGATGTTGTATTTTGTTCGTAAAATATCCGGGAAGACTAAGATGATTATAGGCTTTCGGGCAAATTTGCAGGTGACATCGACAAACAAACAAGTAAATAATTGAATAAGTACACACATAACCACGCTTCGTTGTCTGTAACACCTTTTCTAAGCTTACCACGACAAGAACTGTAATGTTGAAGTTCTTTCACAGCTACAGTGTTTGACTTCCTAAGCCTTTCTCAGTTAGAAAAAACTTGCTACTGGAGTGTGCCGACAATGCGCTCTTTCAATTCCTCAAGCTCGAAGTGTTTCATGACAACTTATGAAAGGGCTTCTTACCTGTCAAGCCACGATGAAAAAGAATAAGTCGAACTTACCCGAAAATAACCTCCACGTTGTTTGGCAGCGGTTATTGTTCTCATCACCACCAAGTTCTATATTACTTCCACTGCATTTTAATGGAGAGTACATTGAGAAGACTAAAGGAAAATAGAATTAAGAAACACGCAAATGAACCGCGGTGAGAAATCACGTAAAGGCAACTAGACTCAATCAAACTGCACATAGGATCCCTCTCAACTTCAAATTTCAAATGAATAAAGAGCAGTCGTGAATATGGAAAAAAACTTCATCGCTTCCGACGTCAAAAGAATGCCATTGATGAAAACCTTCAAAACAAGTAAAAAAACAGAGAAAGAGTTGTTTGAAACGGTGATCCCGGATGGAGCCTTAAGCACGACCGCAAGAGGGCAATCCTTAAAGCAAACACCGGTCGGCTGAGATCCTATAAATAAATCTCGAGATGGGGCGGTTCGATTGTTTTAATGGGAAGACAGCTCGTGCGAGCTGAAGTGTTTGTCGACGGGATTAAGCGGTCTCCCGGAATAGCGCCGACTCGACGGGGACTCGCGATAATAAATAACGAAGAGCGACGTTAATCTTTCACGTGACGCGTCTCGCTTCGGCTTCACAGGCCGATGTTAACGTATTGTGTTCGCGTGACTTCTTCGAGCGTTTTATCTCAATTCACAGTTCACCCTTTTCAGAGCCGGAATGAAAGGCAGGAATTGACGGAAAGCTATGAAGTCTCTACGATTTTAGAGTTCGGAGATCTCAAAACTCGCGAATCAAACGCTCGACTCAATTTATTTGTCGAATTGCCTATTTACATGCTTTCTCAACTTTTGTAGTTTCCTTTATTGCGAAAAAAAAGCTATGCCTTGATTGACTGACTGACTGACTTATTGATTGATTCATGAAATAATCGATCGAATGATTGGTAGATACACCGACAAATTATTCGATTGAGTAGTTTATTTCTCGCTCACTTGATTGACACGCATCTTTTTTATGCATTCCAGGAGGTTCTTCGTCGGTGCATAGGAAGCTCCCAAGCTTCGCTGAGCCCATTCCCAATGTGACAGTGGCAGCAGGACGAGAAGTGACCCTGACATGCGTCGTGGACAACCTCGGCAGCTTCAAGGTGCGAATTGATTTTATGTGGTTTTGAACCACGCAGAATACTTTTACACACACATCTAATCTCGGGGTCTTTCTTTTTCACTGCTTTCTTTGTCTTTTTAAACCCTGGGCATGCCCAGATCACCTTTCTCTCGTCCGCCGCACACTGTTCCGCAGCCTCTCATTTCAAGCCAAGAAACAGGATGTCTAGGAAACAAAACCGCTAGCTTAGCACAATAACAGACAGACAGACAGACAGACAGACAGACAGACAGACAGACAGACAGACAGGCAGGCAGGCAGGCAGGCAGGCAGGCAGGCAGGCAGGCAGGCAGGCAGGCAGGCAGGCAGGCAGGCAGGCACCAATACAGAAAGATTAACAGGTTAACTGGAATGGAAACAGTCGGTTTTCTACCTTACAGTAAAGAGTGGTAGAGAAGAGAGAGAGGAACAACGTTTAATTAAAAAGTGGAAGAATAGAAAATGCAGCTGTAACACACACACAAACAAATGCAGGAAGGTACATGGAAAACAAGTATCAGGTTAGCTACCCTGCACTGAGAAAGGAGCAACGGGAGACAGAAAAGTAAAAAAGAGAGGGATGATATAGAAAGAGGGAGCAAGTTACAAACACACACGCAGACGCCCTGCCCCACCGCGGTGCTCTAGTGGCTAAGGTACTCGGCTGCTGACCCGCAGGTCGCGGGATCGAATCCCGGCTGTGGCGGCTGCATTTCCGGTGGAGGCGGAAATGTTGTAAGCCTGTGTGCTCCTATTTGGGCGCACGTTAAAGAACCCCAGGTGGTCAAAATTTCCGGAGCCCTCCACTACGGCGTCTCTCATAATCATATGGTGGTTTTGGGACGTTAAACCCCACATACTAACCAACGCAGACGCCCAAACACACAGGAGTGCCACAATCGTTAAACCAAGCTGGTCAAAAAAAAAGGAGGAGGAGGAGGAGGAGGAGGAAAGAAAGAAATGAAAGGCAGGGAGGTCAACCAGACGCACGTCCGGTTTGCTACCCTGCTCTGGAGGAAGGGGTGAGGGGATTAAAGCAGAAGAGAGAGAGAAGTGAAGGGCAACGTGTGTGTAGATGTGCCCGTGTCCATTGCACGCTTATAAGCGGTCGTGTAGTCCAGTCGTCTTAAGAAAACTTAGAAATGCCCGCGTCGCTTTGCTGGCCTGCGATGCGAAGAGCCATGAACCAAGGATCTTCTCTTCGGAAAAAGGTCTACCGTCTAGTGTCTCTAACGTTTCGCGTAGTAGTTGCGTTCGCTCACAAAACATTCACATGAACACAGTAGATGTTCTATTGTCTCGTCAGTGTCGCACGATTCACATCGGGAGCTATCCGCCATTCCTATGCGAAAGGAGTACGCCTTTGTAAAAGCTACTCCTAACCACAGGCGGCACAGTAAAGTTGCATCCTGGCGGGGGAGGTCCGATAAAACTTGAAGCTTTCTCGATGGATCCAATTTGTGTAGGTGGGGGTTCCTGGCACTGGGGTCACTCAGCCAAGTTTTCGACATAGTGTTAGCGAACGAGTGAAGGCCCCTTGCAGCGTCGGTTCTCGCCAATGGAATTGGGGTTGTCTGGGCGTCCGCGTGGGCGGATCGGGCAGCATTATCAGCAAGGTCGTTACCGACAATACCACAATGTCCCGGTAACCACTGGAACACCACGTCATGTCCTTTCGATAAAACTTCGTGAAGCACTTCTCTTATTTCATTTTCATTCACTAGTTGTTGATGCTCCCTTTGTCGTAAAGCTGATTGCAAGCTCTGAAGGGATGCCTTGGAGTCACAAAACATAGCCCATTTTTGAGGTCGGGCTTCCGCGAAAAAGAAGTTTTTAATACTCAAAGGTTGCTTTCAAGTGCCACAGTGAAATGTAGTGGAAACAAATTACAGAGCAGTGCCTGTTTCTGTGCGCTGTTAGAAAATTTCATAACGGAGATTCATAATAGCTTGGCGTGCGCACAATGGTCTGCGAGAGGGAAAGCAATTGAACACTGACCGGAAACACAAAGACCGAAGCGCCAGACATGCTGAAGACCACAAGATTAGTTTAAAAAAATTCTTTTGCATTACACTATTCTTATACGAGAATGTTCCGGCCGGTCAAAATGAAGAGATCATTTTAACTATTCCGCCATTGGCCAATGGTGGGCGTCTCTTTAAAACGAACGGTTCGTGAATTTATCCCGTATTCGAAGAACGGCAACATTATAAACTGATGCTGTGGAATTCATTTTTTTATGCGAGGCAGCATGCACAAGTTGTGCCTTCACAATGATCTAGCACGCAATATTAGACAGAGCAATTTAGCAGCGGAGCTGTTTATGCCAGCCTTTGGTTGCAATCTGTCGCAAAAAAATTATCATCATCATGAAAAACTGGCATGCGCTATTTTCGTCCACTTCTCCCCGTCCGTCCTCGTCTTCATCCTTCTCAGAACACGCTGCCAATTTGTCCGGCGCACCATTCTGATAAATCAAATGGTGAGAGAACGAGTACAGGGAGAGTGAGAAGCAAATAGAAAGAAACAAAAAGGTGCCGAAAAAAATCTTGACGAGGCGGGATTCGAACCCGCGTACCGACGATCTGTAGGTGAGCATCGTGATTCCTCGGGCATGCAAGAACGCTAGCAGTGTATAACATACACTTGTATAGTTTAGTATAGTACAGTACGCTGCTTGAAATGGAAGCGAGGATGAGGGATCTGAGGGAGAGGGGGAGAGAAAGAAGTGTATATGGCACAGCACACCTTAGAAAAAAAGGGAGACAAAAAAAGAAATAGAGAGAGAGAGAGAGATTGCAAAAATATAGAAAGAAAGAATTAGCAAGAAAACGAGACAAACAAGAGATAGGAAAACACAGAAAAAAAGATACGAAAAAAGAATGAAAAAAGGTAAGTCCTAGCAAGGAAGGCAGTTCAGCTCCAGCGTTCCTTCAGGCTTGGTACCACTAAGGCTCAGATGACTGTTTTTTTTTCTCACCATTTTATTAGCGTGTAACCTGTGATGAAAAGCGGCAAACAAGACTGCCGAGCGTTGATTGGAGGTCGGGAGTGCGGTAACAATCACTAAACGAGAGTAGAGAAACAGAAAAAAAAAGAGAAACGACAATTCGCAAACCAGCTGCTACCCGACCGGCTGTTGCACTTGTGGTGGATATATAAATACGTATCAACATCTGCGGCAACGAATTGGTCGTCGTCGCTGCGCCACGCTGGAAGGAACGCCGAGGCAGAGACGACAGGCCGCGTCGAATGAAAGCGCAATGCACTCACTTTCTCCTCTCTTACCTCGACCCTGTCACCGTGTTATAGTTGCGCACCTTTTTTCCGCGGTGCGCTCAGCTGAGTAACAATGCGCGCTGCCAACTCGGATAACTCCTCACCCTGGCGTATTCTTTCTCGTTTAAGTGGCCTCTCTCTCTCACACCACCTCTCCGTTTTTTTTTTTCCTTCACTCTCTGCACACGTCAGGCGGAGGTTTCAGCGGATGCCAAGCCCGTAACTGCGTCTGTTGCGCGGCTATTCGGGGCTTCGTCAAGTGAGGCACCACGGCGCACAGCGCTACGTGACACGACTCGTTGGCGAACTTTAATGACGCTTCCTCTGGGTGGAATCGAGGGTACTTCCCGCCACATTTTCTTTCCCTTTTTCTCTCTCTCTCTTCATTCTTTATTTCTTCACGAATTCTCCTCTCTACAGCACCCCATATTACGTTGGTTTCCCAAGCACCGTGGCGGTGGCCCTTCGACCTCTCTCCTCCTTCCATTACGTTTATACGCGACGGATGATACCAAAGCGTGGCCAGAAGTCCGCTCTCTCAATCCACTATTTGAGTGTTTCTTTCTTCCTTTCTTTGTAGCTTTAACGTTTCGTCTTGGGCGTTCTTTTTCGCTTGTTTCGAGCGCTCATTTCGCTCAACTCGCCCCGTCGTCCACTGGTCCACGCTCTTCAGTACAGTGCGTCATGCCGCGGCCGTCCACTGACGTCTCTTCGCGTCGTACAATACCGTGGTGTGAAGAGCGCGCACGTCCCATTGTTCCCCTTCGCTAGATTGTCGAGCGGCCTTCTCGTATAGTAGCGATAGCAATGTAGGCGCTGGTGTAGATGGCAGCAGAGAATACCTTTATATCTACACTGTATTTCGTAGAGTTGTCTTTCATTTTTTATTTTTTTTATTTTTGGCGTCCACGAGTGGCTGTTAGATGCGCGTCATTGTGGTGTGCACCACGTCTCAGTGCCTGACGCACCACTCCGTCTTCGACGCTCTGTGAGCACGAGTGTGCGTAGCGTGTCCCACACAGACTGCGCTCCGTGAGAGTGGAAAAATTTGGGTTGGCCACTTCGGCGGCCGGGTGATTAGCAGGACTGCGCCAATCTGCTGAGCATCGCTGGCATCGGAAATTATCATAAATGGCAAACAACAGAAAACTATGCTAAAGCGGACTTCCGTATTAGGTTGAATGGTTAAAAAGAAACATTCTTTTGGGGGGTGGGGGGTGGGGGTGGGTTTCTTAAGTTTTATGCTCAGTTTTGTTGGGCTAAAGTTCCAGTAAGGACAACAGACTTTCATAGGCTTTTAATGTATCCCTGAAGAAATGTTTCTTACACACCAAAAAATGAAAAAAAAAAGTATAAAAAGAGAAAGAAGAAAAGCAGGAATGTTAAAACCAGTCAAGAAAAACTATACGGCACTACAATGGAGGAAGGGATTCGGGAGTGTGAAATATAGAGGCAGAGAAAAGGAGAGAGGATGAGCTCGCTCACACGCACACAAACACACACACAAACACAAACACACACATTCAGAGACCTCACAATCACAATATCGCTATTGGTCAATAACCACCAGTGCAAAAGCGTTGTCTTCAAGAGTTTGAGCAACGCTTTCATCCCTATTCATCCGCTACAACTTGTCATCTAACTATACTCCACTTTCCGGTATACCAAGCTTTCAAGCGTTTCTTTTTCCATAAGTTTGCAGAAACAGCTAAGAATGGATAGTTCAGAATTATTGAGGAAACATGCAAGCGGGGGAGACAGCGGTGCACTTTTGTACAGCACCAGCAACTATCGAAACTCCTACTGAAAGGGTGTGATCACACACGTGCTCGGACTTTGCAAGTTTAAATAAACGTTCATGCTGCGGCGCCTCTTGTCGGCATCTAAGATGCTTGCTTGCTGAGCATACGTCATTGTCATCGCGTACAGAATGTTGACAGCCGCATCAATGCTTTGTCACGCTCCACTTTCCTGGAACTTGTTATCCTCCAACCATGCGGTGATAGGATCTCAATTACAAGGTTTTGTAATGCAAATAAGGCTGGCTTCTTTCCGACTGTCAGGCGGTAGTTCTAATACTATAGGAAAACGCACGAAAATGAAGTTTCCGACATTATCTTTCGTCTTCAAGATTAAACGGCTGTTTCCTCATCTCCGAGAAAAAGGATCATTTCATATCCTTCTCAAAACGATGCTTCCGGGGCATTGAATGATACCAGACAACATGTCGCGGACCATTCACGTGGCTTCATCCAAATCGCAAAGAGAGAGGACATAGAAGAACTTCACAGACAAAAAAACGTGGTATACGGTGTGAACTGGCATTGCTTTGCATTTCAATGACGAAACAGGCCGGTGTAGTCATTTTATCGAACAACAGAGCATTTCGTAACGTACGAGAACTCGCTTGATAAGTTCATGCACGGTAATTCGAAAAGGTTCGCACACTTGTTACGGAAGGGCCGCACAGTGTGGCAGCCGTGAAGCGCGATCGACATCGCAAATAAATAGTCTGCATCGTGGTATAGACTTACAGAAGGACAGAAAAAAAAAGTTCTTTTTTTTTGTCCTGTAAAGGGAATCTGATTCACTGACTTGAAGTTGTGCCAACATATTTCGCAAGACTACCTATATGTCGTTTGTACCACGTGCGTAACCGCAGTATTCGAAGGTAGTATTTCAAAACTTGTTACGAAACAATCTACGCCCAATAAGTGCTCCTAGAGTGACAAGAATAATAATAAATCATGTGGAGGAAAAACAAACACTCCATGCGTACTTCGACAATCAGAAAAAAAAAACGGTAGATCAGCAAATATATAGTTAGATGCCATAAAAAGCATATGAGCAGACAGGAAAAATCTCCGGTGTCGCCCCTGGTTGTTGTCAGCCCTGATTGTCGGCCCAGGTTTTCAGCGCAGACATATTTGATTGATATGTGGGGTTTAACGTCCCAAAACCAACATATGATTATGAGAGGCGCCGTAGCGGAGGGCTCCGGAAATTTCGACCACCTGGGGTTCTTTAACGTGCACCCAAATCTGAGCACACGGGCCTACAACATTTCCGCCTCCATCGGAAATGCAGCCACCGCAGCCGGGATAGCGCAGACATATTATGCCTTCATTTTTAACAAAGCATAACATGACTGTTTCTTTAAAAGGCTAAGCGTGTGTGATACAAAGAAAGCACGAGCATTAGTCAATGAAAGCAATCCGCATTTCTCGCAGATATTCTTACGAAGGTGTCTGCACTGTTCGTGTTATTTGGCATAAAGATAGTGAGCGTATGACTTGCTATAGATGGTTCCGGATAAGTTCACTTCCGGGAAATGATGCGAATCAAACGAAATGTATAATAAAGATTCAGCAGAACCCCCATATCTTGGGAATCAACGTTATGACAAGCCCGCAGACGGAAAATGACTGTCTTGTATTTTTTTAATTAGCGAAACGTTACGAAGTTGCACCAAAGATATGTACAAATGCACGCACAGACATACGTTACACAGCTGCATAGTTTTTATATAACCAGTTGTTTACAGTTACATGATGATGCCAACAGCAGCATCAATATTAACAACACCAGATGTGGTAAGCCAATATAAAGCGCTGGTGTTCGCGAAGATGGTATACCCCTGCACACCGCTACACAAATCAACTTCAGCGGATGGAACTTAACTACTATTGACATTAGCCCGACCTGACGGTTTATCATAGCAGTACATATGTAATGTTAATAAAATTGGATAGGCAGCACTGCAACCACAATTGACGTTTCACGAACATTAAGGGTTTATTTGAAAAGTAGTAGTTCTGAGGCCTGACCTGGCTCCTGCTAGAATAATTGAGTGGCACGCAAAATTCTAGGGTTCTATACCTGCTGGGACCCTGATATTTATTATTTGCATTCGTCTGGTCAACGCTGCTGATGTCAGCTTTTTTTCTTAACGCTCAAGCATTAAAATTACCCCTGTCTGTTGTTGCAATTCTTAGGTAGATACAAGATGTAAATCACCAGTGGCACATACCCGCATACCTGTGGCACATGCCCACCCTCAGGTATCTGCCGCACGTCTGATGGAAATGGTATGACAACATACGCGAGGGCATTGTGACATGGCATCTCTTTGCGTACTGCGAGCATTTTCGGCATCTATCTATCTATCTATCTATCTATCTATCTATCTATCTATCTATCTATCTATCTATCTATCTATCTATCTATCTATCTATCTATCTATCTATCTATCTATCTATCTATCTATCTATCTATCTATCTATCTATCTATTTCTTATAAGTATCTGGTAATGGTACCCACGCGTTGGCGTTTGTGTATTATAATATATTCATTAGGCCTTGCTGAAGCGTATCTGAGAGGCCACGTCAATATGAGCGCATAGTTCATATTTTCTCCGCCAGGTGCCGCCACGATCCCAGCTGATCTTAGAAAGCACGTCTCCTTTTCAACTGAACATATTCCACCGATTTAAATTAACATGCTTTCTACTTTTTATGCCATTACCGCTGTTTTCTATGACTATTTCCAATTTTTATGCCACTGGTAATGACATTGCTTCAATGACCGAACTCTAGAATTGATTTCGAATAAATATCCTGACAATCAGCTGACGCATCTTAGGTAAGCTTACGCTCCGATATTACATGTATCTAATACAACTCTTAGCTAGAACCTGAACGATCGGTTTACTACCAGTTATATTTTTAGAAGACTATCTTTTTTTAAATATTCCTCAAACCGGAAGTAAGTGGTTGATTGGAATTGCTTTTAAGGTAAACAAGAATGTAAGAAAACAAGAAAGCCCCCAAATTTCGTGTTACGCGCAGGTGGCCTGGATACACACGGACCGCCACATGCTGATCTCGATGCACGACAACCTGATCACGACCAACCCGCGGTACAACATCGCACACAACGGCCACCGCACGTGGCAGCTGCACGTGCGCGACGTCGAAGAGGCGGACCACGGCGAGTACATGTGCCAGATCAACACAAACCCCATGAAGAAGATGATGGGCTACCTGCACGTCGTCGGTGAGTGCCCGTGCCCATTCGATGCGTTGTAGACGATAAGGCGGCTCTTGTAAAATTAACAATGATTTGCTGTCTTTATCGTCCCTATACCCACGATGTGATTACGAGGGACGCCGCAGTCGAGAGCTCCAGAGAACTCTTATCACCCGAAGTTCTCGAACATTTCGCTAAATCTATGTACACGGGCCTCAAATACGTTCGCCTTCATCGAAAATGCGGACGCCGTTCTCACTATAATGAAAGATTCGTTTCCTTATCTTTAGGAGAAGTGATTCTTTTGGAATCTGTGATTAAATACCCAAAGACGGCAGCGAGGTTGCTTTAGAAGTTGTGGATTTGTAGACAAACTTTTGAGTAGATAGAATGTTGCCACGAAGACTCGGATTAAACGAAACAAATTGTCGACTTGATGGCTGCCTATTACAGTGGCCTAGTAGTTATGGTGGTCAACTCCTGAATCGAATATCACGGGGCCTAATCAGGGCAGTGGCGGCCGCATTTCGATGGTGGCGTAACTCCAGAGGCTCATGTTACTTGGATTTAGGTGCCCTTTAACGCTGTGTTCACACGACGAACGAAATTACAATTAGACTCTAGGGATCAAATACTACGTCACAATACGTCACCGGTTTCCGCGTTCCCGCTTCGGGTCCGCGAGGAGCGGTTCGTGAAACGACGGAAGCCCAAATCACAGTTGGTATCCTCAGGGAGCAGTGCCGACATCCTCGCTTGTAGCATGAATTCTCCCTTATCGTGTGAATGCTGGTTGCGGAGGGATCCGAATCACGTGACACGCATATTGCGTCACGGATTCGTCCGCGATCACGCCCATCGTGTGAATACAGCTTAACGAACACAAGGTGGCGAAAGTTTCAGAAGCCCTCCTCTACGGCGTCTTTCCTAACCAATCGTGGTTTTGGGACGTTGGACACAAACAATTATTATTTAGGTTGCTGACATCAAACGTATATCACATAGTTGCACAATACTGGTCTTGCCCCTCTAGTTTTCCGCTTTTAGACGTGACTTACACGTCCCAATGAGGATGCATAGAACCAACGGAAGCACCAATATTGCCTGACGCACGCCACGACGTCATCGACGCTGCGGCTCATTCTAACTTTGTTGTCCCAGTTCCTCCGAGGATCGACGATGAGAACACGAGCTCTGACGTGGAGGTGCGCGAGAACAGCGACGTGTCCCTGCGTTGCCGAGCCACGGGCACCCCCGAACCGGTCATCAAGTGGAGGAGGGAGGATGACGCACTCATACTTCTCTCCGGAAAGAAAGGTACGTGGTCACCATCATTTTTCAAGGAGATGTAAAGCTGCCAGTGTCCGCCACTCCCGCCGGTGCCTTTTCCTGTGGTGTTCTCTGCGTCGTGTTTCTGTCTTTAGCACTGCTATAAAGCATGAGTTATCATTTTGTTCTAATTCACGCCCACAGCTAAGTGAGGTAATCTCCCAGTGATGCCCAAACACGACATATTTAGGCAAACTGCGCCGATGCAACGAGAATGCAAGACGCACGTTACAGAAGGACGCGCACGTGACCTGCGTGCTGTCGTTTTGAAACAGAGGACCAGAAGAAGGGAGAGTGCGTTTGAACATATTGGAAACCGTATAAAAAAATGAGATGGACAAGAAGTGACCGGAAGACCTTCATTGTTCTCTTGTTCTTGTTTTTTTTTTCTTTCTTAATGCGCTATTTTCAAGATTGTCCACATCTGTATTACAGAATAGTATGTCAGCTGCTACAGTAATCTTGTGGTTATGCTGACCCACAGGTCGCAGGATCGAATTCCCCACTGCGGTCGTCTAGTGGCTAAGGTACTCGGCTGCCGACCCGCAGGTCGTGGGATCGAATCCCGGCCGTAGCGGCCACATTTTTGGCGGAGGCGGAAAAGATTGATTCTCATGTGCTTAGATCAATATTATAATGAAAAAATGGCCGATAATTTCCTGTTCCATAAGCTCCCATTTCTCCTTATTCATCGATGCTGAACCGGGCTCCATGATGGGCTGCAGTCAGCATATTTCCTGAATTCAAACCACTATCTCAACCACTTAACACTCACCTAAGCATCAGAAAAATTCGTCGACTAGCACAATTTCTCACTTTCTAACGTCAGTTAATTCTAACATTCTATGGCAAGTTTTCTAAGTAAAGCACGCAGCCCTATCATATGTCATTCTAATACTGCGATCTGGTCACTTGAAGTTTTGTGGCATCAGTCCGATAGACCACTGATTACGCATCACACCACCCGCCCTACTCAATATTTCCTTAATTTATAGAACATCGGTTAAGCTCCTCTGATCTCCAATGCACACTCTCCATGCCTCAAAAGCTTCGCCTATAATAGCTCTGACCCGCGTGCGAATTTCGTTCTCATATTGCGTGCCTACTACATTGACGATTCGGTTCGCATAAACTCATTCTTGATAAGCTGCATAAGACCGACTTCCGGTCACGAATTCTTTTTCCTTTACCAATATACTCAAGGATACCCTGAACTTTCGCAGATCCATTCTTGAACCATTCCTTATAATTTGCTATAATTAATGTTTTCATTCACTTACGCTCTGCACCAATGCAACTTATTGGGAACAAGATATTCTTTGAGTTTCGAATTTCTTGAATAAACACAACTTTTGCGATTACAGTATCCTAAAGCGATGGTGTAAATCCTTATGGAGGATATGCGCTATTCACAAGAAGTATATACTACACCCTTCTGCAGGTGCACTGTACTCTTTTTCTGCTTCTTTTTTTCTTTTCAGTCTAAACAGCGCAAGACCTCAAACGGGAAAATTCCCTCTTGATAACGTCCCTTCCCTTTCTTTTACTTAATTCATTTGCTGCCAATTTATGACAATCACCTTATGCTGCTTTGGTATACGCTCAAATACTACAGAGAGTGTTACCACTTTTTTTTTTCATTTTATGGCTCTAGCACTTAGTTTTCATGCAAGCTCTCACTCTATTCACATATACGGAAGCCGTATGTGTGTGCGATATGAGTAGTATGAATGACAACACTTTCCAGGCACAGCGTAAGCGATCCCATCTATTTCAGGATGAGGGCTTCATTGAACTGTTTACGAAAAAAAAAAAGTGTTGCGTAACCTTCCATGGAAATACACGGTTTCTCCCTACGATTGCGAACGATCGAGAGCTTATTAAAAAAAGGACATTTGCGGCACGTGGCCGGCCTACATCATATTCAGTCGTTGCAGCAGTTCGTTCTACCGAAAAAAAAATGAATAAGACGGCAAGACTGGCACTCCACACTATAATCGTTCTCAGAGGCACCGAGGAGTGCCAAGTCATCGAATCATAAGCTGCAGACGCGCATTAAGACCCAGCTATACGAACCCCTGCAGACGAAGTCCTACAGTACGCTGCTCTATGTTTCTTTACTTCATTTTTTCAGGAACTTATTGTCTGCTTTCTTAATGTAGACCGAAAAAACTTGAGGCCCAATTTAGCGCAAGCTTTACCCCATCGCCCGTATATGCACGCGTATGCTGCCTCTGCTGCCCACTGTACTTTCCTCAAGTTGGAACTTCTGAAGTGCACTCAGTTCTGCTCGCAAAGGGTAGTGAATACCCCCGTTTATCGTCGCTTTCCATCAGCGTTCTCAACATCATAGAGTCTCCATCCCTCTGCATGGCGCTTCCAAGTGCTCACGCTTAATGCAAGAGTGGAGCGTGTTACAACCCGCAGCCAAGACATGTTCACAGTTTCTTGCTCTCGCATCCTGAATTTCGTATCATCCGCCAAGTAACGTTTTCTTGCAACCACTCTGCTTTTCAGATGTTTTTAGTCACTATTATTTTTTGTTTATTAGAAAAACAAAACAGGGGGGGGGGGGGGTTGATGGGCAAGGGGGTGGGAGCCTGCATAAGCGTCGACGTGACATTATCGTCAAGGGCTTTCGGAAATGCAGCGTTCGGATAGCGCGCGTGACCTCCACTGTCAACGCCGAGACGCACGCAACGCATCGCACTGCCTAATTCATTCACGGATAGTCACGCATATCCGAGCACGCGATAGTGTATAGTAAAGTGCCTTACTTCCTGTACAAGCGAGCGGCTACGACTGTGCACGTTTCGGAAGAAAAAAGTTCAACGAAAAAAATCGCCGGAAAGTGGGCCGAGCGAGCGTCGTCTATCGCCCAGAAGGCGAGCGCGTGCCTTGGAGCGCGATCGGACAACCTGATAACGCGAGCTACATCAGTCGCGGAGCGGCTCGCTCTTGACGACCATCCCGCGCTTTTCGCATAACGCATTCGCTTCATCCATTTTTTTTCCGTACATTGGCTTCCACGTATAAGAAGAAAAAAAAAACCTGCTCGGCTATACAGTTGACCGGTGGTGGGACGAAAGGAGTGCAGAAAACGTCGGAAAGAATGGAAGAAACACAAAAAGTGGGCACCTCGAAAAGAAAAAAAAAAGTTTCGTGGGCCCGGTAGCAGGGAACGCGACTCGCAAGGCCAAGAAGGCCCTGACGTTGACGGGCAAACTCGACGGCTTCGGAACATTTGCCCGCACTCGCAATAATAAAATAAGTGAGATACAAGAGAGAGGAAAGAAGTGGTGTGTGGAAGATACGGGAAAGAAAGAGCGAGGGTGACGAACAATGAGAGAGAGTGAAGGGCCAGGGAAACTGAGGAGACAGAGTGAACCAAGGCCTTGTACATGTACACCACTGGAGTGACAGCGCAGTAAAATAAGAAGTCGTACGGCGCAGAGGCACGGACACGATTCAAAGTGCGTAAAAGACGTACGGAGTTCCACGAGAGCGCCGCGTCCATTATGTAACGAGGAGGGACTACAAGCATGGTGCTGAGCCTTACAGTGCGAAGCCTCTTCTATGTACGAGAAACAAAAAATAACTACTAGCGTCTATCCCCAAGACGGCAAGAGGGGAAAGGGACGAGGGGTAGAGAACGGGTTGGCCTGCGCCGCGGTGTCGCCATGCGAAGCATGTAATATAGGAAAAGTAAAACAACGGCAAGGAAGAGAAAGAACTCGTTTTGAAAATTGAAGTCCCGAAGACAGGGCAGCCTAAGTGAAAGTTACGACGTCGTCACAACGGTCGGTCCCCCTTCTCGACGTCGTAGAGTCCGGCTCCGAGCCAGTCCGTGCCGGCCAGTCGCTTCTTGAGATGGCTTCCAAGAACAAAGCTGGCGAGATAGAAAATAAAGGCGCCCCTCCCCCTTTTCTAATACCCCTCCTGAACACCCCCCCCCCCCCCTTTTGCTTCCACTTTCTCGTTCTTGTCTTTCGTCGTGGAAGTCGCATCGCCATGCCCGAAAGCGGCGCCTGGGCCGACAAGCACTCGTGCCAGAAAACTTTGTGGTAGTGGTGGGGGCGAGAGCCTTCGTCACTCGAACAACACGAGCACTGCAGGAAAAATATATACATTACAACGACACCGTCTGCCTTTCTCGGATTATAAGCCTAAGTGATGTCGCGCAAATCATGCGGACCGAGACCCCTGGCCTTCAACGTGAAGTTCCGCGGAAATGAAGCGAAAATGTTTGGGTTTCTTGGCAGAACGGCAATAACATATACCAGTGTGGCCGTGCCCCATCTCCTCCGCATCTAGCGTGGATTTTCGCTTTGTTTTTCTTGCCTGTGTGTGTTTTCTCGGCCCGTTTATGATCGTGTTAAGTTCCATTTCGACACACGTCGCGCATACATTGCAGAAAAGCTAGAAGGGAAACATAATTTAAGTTTGCCCATCACAACAACAAAAAAGAACATGAAGAAGAAAAAACAATCCCACTATTTAGCTTGTGGCCTCTACTGGAGCACTTGGAACTCACCCTGGAAGTAATGTGTCCCTGTGAAGAATAATTAATTTATTCACTTGAACCAGGAATGAACACACTGATGTCTCCGAACTGCGGTAGCCACTCTGTCCAGGCGGTATATACTCCAGGTGGATTTCCTTCACCGTCGGTGTCATCGTGATGTTTTGTATAAATTCTAATTAGACAAAAATAGAGTGTCATGAGATCTGATCGCCAGAAAAGGCTCTTGAGGATGAGTCGAGCAGAACAACTTCATGCGCGATGCTCTCCTGTCAGTCCAATGTTAGGGGTCGTGTCATCTCTCGCGAACAAAAGCCTCGAAAATGTGGCGGCCGGACTATAGGAGGTTCATGCTTCGTAAGACGTGTTAGTCACTACTTCCCAGTGAAGGAGCAAAGTATCCTGGTGTGCACGCGAGCAAATCGATATACTGTGCATTTACGCAACCTTCCGCTCAGTGTGTAAC